AACAAATTACTGCAAATTATCACGAAACTTCGTTGGAGCAATAAGGACAACAAGAATTAACTGCAGAGTAAGTTTTATTTATCTTTATTTAGTATTTCCTAGAAATTTTAGGATGATATTTTTACCCCATACAAACACTGTAATTTTACTAGAACCGTACTGTGGTACTATAACAGAGCCTGGGTTACCTGTGGTTCGACCAAGTGCAACATCTTATATCATTTAACGCTTTCTGAAAATTTTTAAGGCTTCGAAATTCGGTCTCGGGATTTTTTGGGGGTTTTGATTGTAGCCCCCATTCGATCTTCCCCGTCACTTAAACTCCGGAGTACCCCCCTGGGCGCCAAAGGTCTAGTGACGCGGAACAGAATAGTTTTCTCTTTTTCATTAGAGTCGCCTACAATAATTGTACAGCAGAGGATTGATGTTGCATATGATGGTGGAAAGCCCATATGGAAAAAGCCGGCAGTAATTTACGCTAGCGGTCCAGTGGCATCTATAGGGGTGATTGTCACTGGAATACGTAAGTATACAGCTATTGCGTGAAAGGTTGTCGGAAAAAGTGCACGCGACAATCCCGAAAGGTATTGTGGGTGGTTTTGAGTTCGCTGTTCTTCAAAGAAATTTGAAACAATGGCACAAGAGGCGGTGGACGTATGTTTGCGAGTGCTAAAGGAAAGCAATAAAAGAAATTTTGACAGCTTCAGTGTTAGGAACAGTGCATTGATCATATCCCATTCATTTCTGTGGCCCTACCATGCAAACGTCACTTGGCAAGCTAAACATGTTTAGTAATTTAACGTCGTTATTTTTTTCAGTATCGATAAACATTCCCTTGAAAATAAACTGTGGAGGGTCTATTCTTACATCCAGAGTAACATTCGAACCTACTTACTTCCAAGAACTAGTTCTGCGAATCTGGCGCGCTTCCTCCGGCCTTTCCGCCTTTTTAATCATGTAAAGCCTGGATCACGGCAAATTTTACTTATCTAAGTACTTATTATTCATTCTATGAACAGCATACCTAATGGCTGGGATGCCAAGGAGCTACATTTCCGACCGTAAATGGAGTTTATCATATTTGGGTCAAGTCCCTCATTATAAACACGTACAGTTCATGTCCAAAAGCTGCTCCAAGCTAGCTCAGTTTCGAGGCTACGATCACTTTGTTCTGAGGAACGACCAATGTTATTCGTCACATGCCTTGCCAGCCAACGTTTACAAGAAACAAGACCTAAATGCGGCACCAGATAAAAGCCAACGGGATTTTAATGTCCCATATTTCCTTAAAGGAATGAGTAAGTTATTTATCGCACTTTTATATGAAGGGTAAATGTTGACTAGCGTTTATGATAATTTGTATAGGTAATAGCATGATTTGTAGTGATATTTGGCATAAATACCACGAGTGATATTTCAAAATTGTTATACGAAATTTCACGAGCCGTAATTAGGCGAGTGAAATTTGGGACAATTTCGAAATATCACAAGTGGTATTTATGCCAAATATCACGTACAAATCATGCTATTATTTGTTTATACTACTACCCTCAAAAGGTTTGTAATTTTCACATGTAGGTATTTCAAATTAAGCTGAAATACCACTGCTCTAAGCCAATCAAATTGCAGAAATTTCTCATGTAATAGTATAAAGACCTTAGTTACACGAGTCTGGACAAATTTTTGTCTGGCGGGACCTGTGTCCAGACGGAGTCCTTCAATAATTGTGCTCGAACAATTCAGCAAGTTGCAAGCCAAGCAAATGCACCAACCAGGATAAACTGAATTTCAAACAGTGGGAACAGCTCAAAACTTTAAAATAAGGCTATAAATAACACATTAAATATAGCCTGCGAGCAAGCTCTCCAATTTGGGCGAGCGAAGCGAGTTTCGCGAGAACGCGCGAGCGAGCGGCGAAGCCGCGCTCGGCCCCTCGCTCACGTGTTCTCGCGAGGATCGCTTCTCTCGCCCAAACAGGAGAGCTTGCTCGCAGGCTACATCAAATACAAAAAGAGGAACAGATGGACAAACATGAACTAGATTAAAACGGATTGAAAATTGTGTCTTTGAAAACTTGTTAGCCTAACAGTTTTTCACACTGTATTTTTGTTGTCTGTAAACGTTTAATTTAATGCTTTGGCGACACACTCAGTTTGACATGAAGCTGTGATTTCGTAATTTGCCAGTAATTTCGTCTTTAAAGTTAAGTTATATTCCGAATAAGAACTTGTAATTGCCAATATTAACAAAATGAAGTAAGCAGCCCCTCTCACTGAATGTCATGGCTATGTCTACAATCCAGCGGATAGCTCTTGCTGCGGCATTAAAGCCATATCGGATTGGGCTTGTGATCGAGAATGGTGTTGTAGGCGCGGTTTCTGTAACTAACGGAGCGAAGAGTAAACCGAGCTGATCTTGAAAGTAGATCGTCTTATATAGGGTAGCCATGGGATTCTGTGCCAATCTTTGCTGCAGTATGAATACCAGGTGTTCATTCTATACCGGATAACTCTTCATTTCGACATGAAAAGCTTACCGGTACAGTGTAGAGATAGCTTTAGGCGACATTGGTTATGCCAATCCGAATTTCTTTGTTTGTATTGGCCAAAAACCAATTGGCTATTGCTTTAAGAACATCATAAAAGAAAAAAAAAATCACTAAAAGACAAACCGAGTAAAACAAAATGGCAAAACGTAATTAAATAATAACTTAAAAAGACATTGACGTTTCTTTGCAGCTGTAGAAGCTATCTCATGCCGCCAATAGACCTTTTTACCGATACGGCGGCCATATTTGAGGAGTATTATAGGATGCCCAGGGGGCATGAGTACATTTCGTTTGTATTTTCGAGCGCTTTTCGGGACAATTTTTCTTAAAGTTTTCTTAGAATAAGATTGTAATGGGGAAAAAGATCCTTGTGCCGTGTTTCGATGTAATAATGATCGCCTTTTTCCCGAGAAATATACAGTGAAAGACCATATTTCTAATACTAAACTAAAAAAAGGCGATCATTACTACATCCAAACACGGCACAAGGATCTTTTTTCCCATTACAATCTTATTCTAAGAAAACTTTAAGAAAAAATGTCCCGAAAAGCGCTCGAAAATACAAACGAAATATGTTCATGCCCCCTGGGCATCCTATAATACTCCTTAAATAGAATTAATTCAACATGACTGCCGTATCGGTAAAAAAGACTATTGTTTACCCTTTGTTTTTTCAATTTAGGGAAATTTCAGACATATGAAATCGCTTGGTATAGGCTGAAAACCAATACCGTTAACCAGTGGATCCAGATTTTTAAGTATCAGGTTAAAGATCCGGATCGTGAAACTTCACTATTATTCACCCTGGAAACAATAGGCGATGACCTTAATTTCAATTATTTACGAGCTCGTGGACGATATCGAGCCTACGACAAGACCTACTTTGGTGATTATTTCTCGGCAAGTCACGTGCTTGAGATCGATAGACTGACAACTGTTGACCTAGGAACGTACAAAGTGATGGTTCGAGTTCTTGCTACTGGAGCATGGAGCGAGGCTATTATAGAGTTACGGCATGAAGGTGAGGCTATTGAGTAGAGACCAATTTCCATCTGTAGTTATTATATTAAGAATTTGTAATGGTAATATGACTGAGTGGCGTCCAACTCGGTCTTTACTCATACGAGCGATTAACAAACGGGGGAGTCCGATTTTTTTTTTATTATCACGAGGATGATTACAAACCGGAGTTTTGTTTCCAATTAATCATAACTTTAACAAAATTTGTGATATATAAGGCTCTTTCTGTCAATTAAAACACAAGAAATTCCAAGATTTTTTTGCTAGCAGTGAAAAAAAAATTCATTTAAGCGTGCGCGTGATGGCGCGTACTGTCCAGTCAGACTTAGGCATGACGCGTGCAGTCTATTAACGCTGAAATCAGGGCAGTTGATAGCCAATCAGATTTAAGAATTTTGTTATAGTTATGATTATGAATTAAATAGAACGGCCAGGCTTGTGAGATCAAGTCCGATTTGCTTAATTGAAGGGTATGATTACAGGCAGGACTCCATGAGCGACACTTAACACACTGATAATTTATCAGCAGTTTAAAGGACTTGAGTTTTTATTGCCTTAAAGAAAGAAAAAAAATCCTTTCAAGGCGTATCCGCCCTGGTGTGCAATAACCTCTGCTCGTAATGCTTTGGCCAGGCATTGTTCCAGTGTTATTTTTTTAAACCGGATACCGGGATCGGATTTCAGTGAACATTTGAATAAGAGTGAAGAGGGAGAAAGTATTGGACTCGGATTTTTGTGAACTTCAACGGTCCAGTTATAATAGGTCTTTTGCATGAGTTAACCACGTGATCAACTTTCGGGCAAACACGAAAACAGTTTGCTTTTGAAAAAAAAATTTTGTTCGCACGAACTGAAAGAGCATATTAAAATTTGGTAACCTGTAAATTTTCAGGCTTATATCTAAAAAATAGCGATTGCAAAGGCAAACGGCAGATTCAGGTTGAGAATTTCCAAAAATAGCAAATGATCAGACAAAAACAGTTTAAAACAATTCTTATGCATGAAAATAGCGTGAAACTACTAGAATTAATGAACAGTCCAAGATATGTAAAGCTAAAACTTGGTCGCGTAGTACAAATTCAAGTTTGCCGTCTGTCATAAACGTGAATCTTAAGTAGCCAACCTCAAAAACACCTGAATAGACAACGCCGAATGAACATACAATGGATACAACTTCTTCTAGTTCTTGTTCATTTAATTCAAAGGTAGTAACCATTTTGTTAAATTTCATAACCTATAGAAAACTCATCATTCACAAAAATGGTGGTGGATCACGATAACTATGTTTTAATAATTTGAAAGGAAAATATTGACGACAGTTTCTTAAATATTGCAGAGGAACCTCGAATTTCTCTTCCTGAAACGTTTGGTGCATGCGCAAAAGCGCCTACAGAAGTAAAAGTCACAATGAAGGAGAAAAACTTCCGGGATCCAAATACGTGGAAAGTAAATTGGTATCATTGGCACCGTTGGTATGGAGGGTGGAAACGATCGCCTACTGCTCAAGGATCTACTACTTTAAGAGTGCCAAAACCCCTCTTACGACAAACTGGAGAGTGGTATGAGGTGGAAGTGAGGAACCAGTTTGGTTTCGCTAAAGGTGTTTCTAAGATCATAGTTATTGAAGGTAAGTTGTCTTTTGTATTATGGTACGCTTTGAGAATTTATTTGACTGAATTAAAAAACCAAAGCATGCTAAAAGGAAGACAATTCGATTTTTGAGTTGGTTTTCTGGTTTGTGGAATTTCTTTTCAATGAAAGACGCCTAACTGATGTGCTAGTTTTGTTCTTTGACTTTCTTTGGGGTATCCGAGTTTTAGCTTTTCTTCTCGTACTATGGATCAATGAAGGTAGATATATAATATTTTTATATATTTTAAAGGCAGTTCTAAGGCATTTGTAACCCACATAGATAGTGGTATTTAATGAAGAATGATCCATAGATCGTTTAATGAATGCTACTGCGTATCGTATAGACAATTATTAAAAATACAGCAAGTTTCTATACTTTGTAATTTCAGGATATTTAAGTGAATTAATTTCGCCTATGGGCTCCTTAAAATCAACTGTACAGTTTTTTCCCGAGCAAAGGTTGTCTAATAACGACGAATTTATAGCTGCAGATCTCGTTATTCCCTTACAATCGTGTTTCACAAAACAAAACTTGATACTGCGCTTGCTGTTACTGCTATTATTTAAGTAGAGCTCAGTTTTTTTCACGAGCGCGAAGTGCGAGCGTTAGATTTTTTATGTTTTCTGCGGCAAAAGCCAGCGAGAGAGCGGAAGCTAGCGCTGAGGGCAACCACCGGAACCGGAAATGAGAAGCGAAGGACTTTGAGAAAGTCTATCATTTGTTTTATTGTAACGTCTTCATACTAACGTCATGTAGCAATTACATTTTAGATGTCCCTACCATAACCTGGATTACGCCATCACTCCACTTTGCAGCTAAGGATGTGAGCGACGTTTTGGAGGTGAAAATCGAAAATGACAAAACCTTGGTGAGAGTTGATTGGTACCACAATGGCACGCTCATTGAAAGGACTACAGAAGGCTTCACATTTCCTGGTAAAACGGTTATCGACATAAGATACTAATCTGAGAAAACAGCCTACATTTCCCAACGCCTCCAACGGTTTCCCCGCGAAAGGACGTCTGAAAAACGAGCGCAGAAATTCCATACTGATGACGCGTCACTACCCAGATCTGGGTAGTGATGCGTCATCAGAACTGGAATTTCTGCGCTCGTTTCTCAGACGCCATTTCGCGGGGAAACGGTTGGTGGCGTCGCTAAATGTCGTCTGTTTTCTCAGGCTACGTCAAGATGTGCAATTTCGGTTTTACTGAAACTGTAGGTCAAAAAATGATTATGTAGTTCTAAGAACTTTGAAATGTTTTTTTAGGAGGACAAAGCCAAATGTTTTAGTCTCATTGACTCGCTGTGTCGGCATATTTTTAGGACCTAACATGTCCCTTGACATCAGAGCCGTAGACCTCACATTGGTTAATCTTTAAAAATTCACTCTGAACAGGTGTTCCTTAATAACTATTTAAACATCGTTAAGTTCGTCATACACATGTTCTTTACAACTGAATTGAATATTGTGTCTCTCGCATGCCCTAATTATAATCTATAAAGGAACTAGTCGGCATGCTATAATAGTAATTAGGGCATCACGGCCCGGTTCCTGAAAGGCCTATTAGCACTAATCCAGGACAAGAATTTTTTTCCACTTTTTGTATTTACTTTCCTGTACATCGCTCAGAGTAACATTTTGTGTTATCATTAACTGTATCCCAGAGTAAAGGCTCAACATAATTTTGTAAGCTTGAGTTACTTGTTCTGAGACAAGGAAACCACGCTTAAAATTTGGCTTAATCTTGGTTTAAGCTTAACCGTCTTTAAAGAACCGGGCCCAGTAGCTGCAGTATGATATTCTGAGTCTACGAGAATCGCTGCTCCATTCAAATTCATTTCTAATTGCTGTATTTCTCCTGTCGATGACAGGAGAGAAACATGGATCCACTTCATTCCGAAAAAAACTTAAGTTATCTCGAATCTCGTTTGAGACTGCGGGCACTTACCGAGTTGTGGCCAAAGGAAAATACTGCCAGTTTGAGAAGAATGTGGAAGTTCGTGTTATAAGTAAGTACAGTATCCCCCCTAAACCGAGATTAAATTTAAGGTATAATATTATATTTAGTTTTGTTTGAACTGACCTGATCTCGTGGCCCAATTTTAAACTTTTTTTTTGGAAAGATGGGTGGATAAGAAAAAAGGCTGGGAGAAAATGCCACTAGAAAAATTTAGAATCGATGGCTCTCCCTGATGGAATATGGCGAGCAAATTGGAACTCGAGTTCTGACATTCAGCTGCAAAACACCTGGAAATAAAGTTTACTCCGCTGTTGAGAAATAGAGCAAATTGGCTCATTTCCCAGACTGAAATGAAGCCGAAACACACTACGTGCTGGTGTGATCATGATCAAGTATTGTTGTTTTGTTCAAACAAATCTGACTCTGGAAGAGGCTCGTTAATTAAATTCAAGCTCTGTTGTATATTTTGTTGTTTTGCTCTCCAGTTAGCCCGCGGTTGATAGTCAAACCACACGCTGTATATCTAAGGTCATTTGAGGGCGAGAGTGAAGTGAACATGAATATAACAATCAAGGGTGGTGTTCCAAAACCAATGGTACGTAAGCTTACTGCTTTGCGGTGACGAATATAGACTGCCTGTTGTTGTTGTTGTTGTTGTTGTTGTTGTTTTGGATGAAATAAACAAACAAACCAACAAAGTCATCGTTCGTTTTCCCATTGGAACTTTTGTTACCCTTATGCCTGAATCATCACCTTGGGGCCTTATGCTAAACCTTGTGTAACGCAAACTCACCAAAAATGCTCCTAGCTTCAATCAAATATAGAAGCAGTAAAATTTATTTAGTCCAAATGGAATACTGTGAATACAGATTGAAAAACTTTGGCACTTGTTCATTAGCCTGTTCCAGGCGTTTAAATCGTGGAGCGCGGCGTTTAGATGGGGAGCGAGTTAAATCGTACGTGGGCAAAATGAGGGGAAGAAAAGAATCGAGGGGAGACAAGTCTTCCCAATTCGTTTTCTTTTTTCCTTGTCAATTTTCTTGCCCGAGCTCTATCTAAATGCCTGGAACAGACTACTTGTTGACTGCAGCAATATTAAAAAGATGCAACCGCTTTGAATTACCCTGCGAGCAGAGTCTATCTAGGAAGATCGAAGGAGACTCTTTTGAATTGACAGAGATATAAAGTCTTGTTTTGTTTCATAGTTGTATTTGTAAACTTATAGCATCTTTTTATAGGAGGCTTTACTGAATTTTTAGCGTTAAAAATTAGAGCCGAGGCTGCTTTACGGAGGGGCTGACTTTTGATACTGTATATCTACAGTTGGACGATATGGAATGGAAAAAGGGAAGTCAGTTATTGACACCCTCTCGATACGGCCGCGTGATACTGGAGACGTCCCTGAATAAAAAAGAGGATTGGTTCACTGTTCTAATAATTAGAAACCTGAAGGAATCAGACTCTGGAGACTACACTTTCACTGTTAAAACAGGACCAGCAACTAAAGTGATGACAAAAAGCCTGGTTGTAATTCCCAAACACGGTAAGGACTGGACTTGCCACAGTGAAATCCGGATTTTTCGAATCTTTTTGGGAAACTGCTCATTTTCACTGGTTTTAACTTCGGCAAACTAATAAGTTTTTTATTGGCAAAATGAAGAACACATAGACGACCCGTTAGTATTATTAGGCTGATTTAGCAACAGGACGGGAACGTCAGTTGTCGACGGGAAAGCGCGCGGAAAGGACTAAACACGACTTCCGGTGCCTAATTTGCCGCTCTGCATTGGTCAAGCCAGTTGTTTGATTTGCGCGCGCCGTTGTCAACTGTTACCGTTCCGTTGCTAAATCAGCCTATTAATCTAGCACTTTTCATGACTTTTATACCAATTGAATCGAATGAACGGGACCGAACCGAAGTTTCCGGATTTAACTGATTGCAAACCATTTTTATACAAACTGTTTGAGAGGATTCTTCCATGAATCCCCCTTTTTACTTCGCTCTATTTCATTAGTAGCGATTGTTTTGCTTGAGTTTAAGTTAGGCAACTCCCATGAGTGAAATTTAAGGGCGCGGGAAAACATTTCGGAAGTTCCTTTTCGTCTTCTTATCAGTCTTCAGATTTCTTTACTCCTAGATGTACGCCCCTTAGCAATACCTCTGTTCTTAACGATACCTACTTAGTAATACCTGGGTGCTTCACGCTTAACGATACGTGACTTAGCTATGCCTGTGTGCTTGACGATAGCTGTGTGACGATAGTAACAGCGAAATTTTCTGTTTACACCCCTAAATGAGACGACGAGCATTCCGAAAGTTTTCATTAAATAGCTATGTGATAACATCCCGCGAATCGATGACCAGTTGACAAGTGCACGCGCCTGATACCTCTGGCAATTTGTGACCCATTAGCCTGCGTAGCAGGCGTCGAAAGGGGTAGGGGGTAGGGGATAGGGAGGAAGGGAAAAAGGGGAGGGGGATTGGGGAGAGGGGGAGGGGACGCCTGCTCTAAGAACCCCCTTTTGTTCATATCTGCGGACGCTGGCGTCCACAAATTCCTGATTGGCTGAGCCGTAATGAGTAACATATTGAAATGCGCGTTTCACAAATCAACAAACAGTCGAGATGGCAGCGGTAGACGTGGATGTCGTAGAGAGTGCTTTGAGGGATGTGAATTTACCTAGTGGTAGAGAAACTGTTTTAAAACCAGAGCAAGAATCAGCAGTAAGGGCTCTTTTAGCCGATAGAGAGTGCTTTGAGGGATGTGAATTTACCTAGTGGTAGAGAAACTGTTTTAAAACCAGAGCAAGAATCAGCAGTAAGGGCTCTTTTAGCCGACAGAGATGTTCTGGCGGTTTTGCGGACCGGATACGGCAAGAGTTTAATTTACCAAATGTTTGTACGCGCGAAGAACTACGAGCTAAATGGTAATGCGGCGATTCTCGTCATTTCGCCACTGAAAAGTATTATCGAAGACCAGTTGCAGGAGATGGAATTGTTGGGCT